CAGTCATGACATACAAACACACACAACTTCACAGCAAGATCTAAGGGAGCTTGATATGTTTTTTTTGTTTGATTTAAAATGTTAAAAAGTGTTAAATAACTACTCTTGGTCTATCCCACCATTATTTTTAAAACATTTTTTAAGTAGTTATATTACAGTGAACTTTTATGACCCCTATGTAAAAATATATATAAACAGTGTTAAAATGTCTGGTATACTTTTAAAAAAATGTGTGCCACTAGCAGATCAATAATCCATTGTCATTAACATTACAAATCATAGCATTCCCATATTATGCTAGCTCCAACATTGGAAAAACACTAGTTTACTGTATATTACAGTGAACTGTTAGGGAACCTAATTCAATTTTAACACAGTAAAAATGGATGGTAAACATGTTGTCATGTGTGACACTAGTAGATCACTAAGACATTGTGATTAACATGGCACACCATTGCTTCCTTGTGATCTTGGGGGAGAAGTTGAAGAAGATGAGAGGAGAGGAGTATCTACACCATTCTACGTATCTACACCAATCTACGCCAACAGACCGAAGAGAAGCAGAAGAGACTCCAACCTGGCTGCTGGAAGAGAGAACCAACTCTGTGAGGAAAAGACACACACTGCATGGTGTTCGTTTCAATACTTGCCCCTTGGAATTGTCCATAAGATTATAACCTCTCCTGTCTCTCTATTTCCCTCTCTCTTACAGGTTTCCTAGGGGAGCTATGAGGTGCAGACACAGGAGAGAGGCATCAGGCAGATGACAGGAGAAAAGCGAGGGAGGGGATGGAGGGGAGGAACAACAGAGAAGAGTTGTTGCCCAGGGGCTGAAGACACACGCCCGAAACAGCCCCCTTCACTCCTGATCTGAGGACACACACACTTAGAGCCAGCTATACCCTTCCTGTGACATTATATGCTTGCTTTCTATCCAAATACATAATCATGTAAGAAAGAAGATACACATGTTTACTGTGGGTGAATATGATGTAATATGATATGTTTTTTTGACTGACTTAATTTCAGTCTTTTTAAAGAATTATAATTAATTTGATATGTTATAGCTTGAAAATAATAGAGGAATAGTGGAGGTGAAAACTAAAAGATAATTCCCAATATGTTCTCCAACCTGATAAAACATTTTATAAAAAAGCTGTGCTGTTATCCTCGCAAGTGGAGGGTGCCGGAGTATTGAAAACAGGTGGCAATACTTTTGCTCCATATCTTTTTATAGATAAAATAATAATAATTGTATTAGTATAAAATAATATAATACAATATATCACATACAGTGAGGGAAAAAAGTATTTGATCCCCTGCTGATTTTGTACGTTTGCCCACTGACAAAGAAATGATCAGTCTTTAATTTTAATGGTAGGTTTATTTGAACAGTGAGAGACAGAATAACAACAACAAAATCCAGAAAAAGGCATGTCAAAAATTTTATACATTGATTTGCATTTTAATGAGGGAAATAAGTATTTTACCCCCTCTCAATCAGAAAGATTTCTGGCTCCCAGGTGTCTTTTATACAGGTAACGAGCTGAGATTAGGAGCACACTCTTAAATGGAGTGCTCCTAATCTCAGCTTGTTACCTGTATAAAAGACACCTGTCCACAGAAGCAATCAATCAATCAGATTCCAAACTCTCCATGGCCAAGACCAAAGAGCTCTCCAAGGATGTCAGGGACAAGATTATAGACCTACACAAGGTTGGAATGGGCTACAAGACCATCGCCAAGCAGCTTGGTGAGAAGGTGACAACTGTTGGTGCGATTATTCGCAAATGGAAGAAACACAAAATAACTGTCAATCTCCCTCGGCCTGGGGCTCCATGCAAGTTCTCACCTCATGGAGTTGCAATGATCATGAGAACGGTGAGGAATCAGCCCAGAACTACACGGGAGGATCTTGTCAATGATCTCAAGGCAGCTGGGACCATAATCACCAAGAAAACAATTGGTAACACACTACGCCGTGAAGGACTGAAATCCTGCAGCGCCCGCAAGGTCCCCCTGCTCAAGAAAGCACATATACAGGGCCGTCTGAAGTTTGCCAATGAACATCTGAATGATTCAGAGGAGAACTGGGTGAAAGTGTTGTGGTCAGATGAGACCAAAATGGAGCTCTTTGGCATCAACTCAACTCGCCGTGTTTGGTGGAGGAGGAATGCTGCCTATGACCCCAAGAACACCATCCCCACCGTCAAACATGGAGGTGGAAACATTATGCTTTGGGGGTGTTTTTCTGCTAAGGGGATAGGACAACTTCACAGCATCAAAGGGACGATGGACGTGGCCATGTACGGTCAAATTTTGGGTGAGAACCTCCTTCCCTCAGCCAGGGCATTGAAAATGGGTTGTGGATGGGTATTCCAGCATGACAATGACCCAAAACACACGGCCAAGGCAACAAAGGAGTGGCTCAAGAAGAAGCACATTAAGTTCCTGGAGTGGCCTAGCCAGTCTCCAGACCTTAATCCCATAGAAAATCTGTGGAGGGAGCTGAAGGTTCGAGTTGCCAAACGTCAGGCTCGAAACCTTAATGACTTGGAGAAGATCTGCAAAGAGGAGTGGGACAAAATCCCTCCTGAGATGTGTGCAAACCTGGTGGCCAACTACAAGAAACGTCTGACCTCTGTGATTGCCAACAAGGGTTTTTCCACCAAGTACTAAGTCATGTTTTGCAGAGGGGTCAAATACTTATTTCCCTCATTAAAATGCAAATCAATTTATAACATTTTTGACATGCGTTTTTCTGGATTTTTTTGTTGTTATTCTGTCTCTCACTGTTCAAATAAACATACCATTAAAATTATAGACTGATCATGTCTTTGTCAGTGGGCAAACGTACAAAATCAGCAGGAGATCAAATACTTTTTTCCCTCACTGTATATATACTAGGGTTTGGTTTTGAACTGGGAATATCTTTTATTACCCAAGTCAAGTGCACTGGGTTTGTGACGATAAAAAAGAAAAGAAAAATCTGAAATATTAAAAGCGTTATCAATATTTCAACTAAATTATCAACACAGCATTGGTAAATGGCTAGAAAAACAAATTAATAATAAAATATAAAATATACAGGTATAAATACATAATGGTCAATTATTATTATTAGTAGTAGTAGTAGGATTAACATAATATAACACAATATTATATAATTCCACCTTTCCAAATTATCATCTATTATTCTACATATAACACCAGAATTTACATCCACAAGATAAATAATAATGAGTAGACAGTACATAGACTGACTGACTGAATCTGTGAAATATAGTTTCCCCTTTTAAGTAGGGTGATAATTGGCAAAGTGGGACACTTTCTGAAAATGTGCTTTCCGGATCATCTTACAGAATTATCCCATTGTCTTAACCCTCAACATGATACCGTTCTAGATAGCTTAAGAACTATACTACACTATACAAAGAAATACAAATAACTCGTGTTTGTGTGTGTCCTCAGATCAGGAGTGCAGAGGCCTGGTTCGGGCGCGTCTTCAGCCGCTGGGAAACACCTCTTCTCTGTTTCCCCTCCCCTGCATCCCCTCCCTCGCTTTTCTCCTGTTATCTGCCTAATGCCTCTCTCTTGTGTCTGCACCTCATAGTTCCCCTAGGAAACCTGTAAGGGAGAGGGAAATAGAGAGACAGGAGAGGTTATAATCTTAGGGAGAGTTCTAAGGGGCAATTATTTAAATGAACACCATGCAAGAGGCTACAGAGAATTGGTGTATGTGTCCTGTCCTCACGGAGTTGGTTCTCTCTTCCAGCAGTCTGGTTGGATCACAAGGAAGCTATGGTGTACCATGTTAATCACACTGTATTATTGATATACTAGTGTCACACATGACAAAATGTTTACCATCCATTTTTACTGTGGTAAAATTTAATTATGTTACCTCAAAATTGACTGTAATATACAGTAAACTAGATTTTTTCTAATATTGTGCTTTGCAATGTTAATGAAATGGATAAGTGCTCTACTAGTGTCACACATGACAACATGTTTACCATCCATTTTTACTGTGTTAAAATTGAATTAGGTTCCCTAACAGTTCACTGTAATATACAGTAAACTAGTGTTTTTCCAATGTTGGAGCTAGCATAATATGGGAATGCTATGATTTGTAATGTTAATGACAATGGTTTATTGATCTGCTAGTGGCACACACAGCTCACTCAAATCATGCTGTGAAGCTGTGTGTGTGTGTGTGTGTCTGTGTTTGCTTAACAGCACCCCCGTTAGGCTACTGCCTCAATCTACCCGTGATATCAAAGTAATTTTTGGTTAGGCACGAAAATGAAATAAACGATTTGGTATTATTTTGATTATGGAACATTGAATAAGTGTGCTTCAAACTGTTTGCTTGGAATGATTTGTAGCTATCGTCTCTATTTGTGCAGTGTTCATGAGAGTGCTTCTGACTTTTTTTCCCAACCAGAAAACACTCGATACCGTAAAGTGTTGTGTATTCACGCACAAACGTTCACGAGTGCGAATGTCGGCTCACTTGACTGTATTCTCGCTGTGGGAAGGTCTCGGCCAGCTAGGTACAGTAATAAAACTCAAATTCGGCTATATTAAACAATCTATTTTACATCTTGGCGCAGCTTACACTGCTAAAAATTGGTCATTCTAGTTGAGGAAGTTTTTAGATACAGGCCAGGTTGGTTTAAGGTTGGGTGTTTTGGTCCCAGTCTGAAAGTGTCTGAGGGAGTGCCAGTCAGTCAGTCACACAGATATGGACAGTTAGCCGATGCTAGAGGCTGTAAATCATTAGTGTGATGGGGTTATGTAGACAAATGTCAGAGCAGAGAATGAAAAGAGTGCTCCCTGGCTGCCTTAGATTACTGGCTGCCATAGACTCCTCATTACTATCTTAGAGATCAGTTAAGGTGTGGTGAGGAAGCCAGGCAGGAGTTAAAGGTTACAGGTTACAGGTGCAGCTTTACTCTGCTACAACACCCAGCCATAAGAGGAGGCCTTGGGGTAGCATGAGAGGCTATGAGGATACCACAGCCTTCCTGGGGGAGTGGGGACACTTTCAACAGACTGTCTTCTTTCTGCTCTGTGCCAGCACCATTCCCAATGGATTCAGCGCCTTCTCCGTGATCTTTCTGGGGGACAGCCCCCCGCACCACTGTTTTATCCCAGACTCGGGCAACCTGAGCCAGGCATGGAGGAATGCCATCATTCCCATAGAGGTGGTGAATGGACAGCAGGAGGAGAGTAAGTGCAGCAGATACAGGCTGGATGTGGTCAGAAACCTGTCTGCTCTGGGCTACATCCCCGGCCTGGACGTCAACCTCACTGGAGTGGAGCAGGAGCGCTGTGTGGATGGATGGAGCTACAGCAAAGATATATACCAGTCCACCATAGTCACTGAGGTGAGTGTACACACATTCTATCTCTACAAGCTGCTCCCGAAAATGCCCAGGGCAGTTGGGGGCCTATTCTGACCCGAGTTAAGCGTGCTTAAATGGAACGTAATTCCCATTTTATGCTCTTTTCTCTCTATGCTATTCTGACCATGAACATAAAGGGATACTTTGGGATTTTGGCAATAAGGCCCTTTATCTACTTCCCCAGAGTCAGATGAACTCGTGGATACAATTGTTATGTCTCTGCGTGCAGTTTGAAGGAAGTAACAAGCCCCCTGCCTGTACGTCCCACAGAAACCACTTTTTTTTCTTTCTCGTAACACTTTCTCTGGTTGCCACTACTCTTGCTTAACTAAAACTGCTTTATTTTAACAAACACAACGCAATGGTAAATCTAAGTGCAGGCGGTAGCGCTATAGGTTCAGGGGTGTGTCAGAATTTTTTTTCTCCATTTTCACTATCACAATTATTGGCGCACTTGCTGACATTCGTGCGAAAGGGCTGGGATTTGATGAATAAACAAGTTGTGGGTTTGTCGAGGCTTGGCCCCTCACTGGCCAATCAGAACGTGCTCCATGGCGAAATATGTGGTTGCTTCAGGTTGTGTATTTACGGTCTTTTATGTATTGCCTTGGAATTAAATCCAATTCCAATGTTAGTCCGTTATAGTTTGTTAAATGGCTTACAGAAACAAAATAACAAAATGTAGACCTATCCCATCTTTGCTAAATACACTATAAATACAAAAGTATGTGGACACCCCTTCAAATTAGTGGATTACACTATTTCAGCCACACCCGTTGCTGACAGGTTTATAAAATCGAGCACACAGCCATGCAATCTCCATAGACATACATTGGCAGTAGAATGGCCTTACTGAAGAGCTCAGTGACTTTCAACGTGGTACCTTCATAGAATGCACCTTTCCAACAAGTCAGTTCGTCAATTTTCTGCCCTACTAGAGCTGCCCCGGTCAACTGTAAGTGCTGTTGTTGTGAAGTGGAAACGTCTAGGAGCAACAGCGGCTCAGCTGCGAAGTGGTAGGCCACACAAGCTCACAGAACGTGACCGCCGAGTGCTGAGTTCCAAACTGCCTCTGGAAGCAATGTCAGCACAAAAACTGTTCGTCGGGAGCTTCATGAAATGGGTTTCCATGGCCGAATAGCCGCACACAAGCCTAAGATCACCATGCACAAAGCCAAGCGTCGGCTGGAGTGGTGTAAAGTTCGCCGCCATTGGACTCTGGAGCAGTGGAAATGCGTTCACTGGAGTGATGAATCCCGCTTCACCATCAGGCAGTCCGACGGATAAATCTGGGTTTGGTGGATGCCAGGAGAACGCTACCTGCCCCAAAGCATAGTGCCAACTGTAAAGTTTGGTGAAGGAGGAATAATGGTCTGGGGCTGTTTTTCATGGTTCGGGCTAGGCCCCTTAGTTCCAGTGAAGGGAAATTTCAATGCCACAGCATACAATGACATTCTAGACAATTCTGTGCTTCCAACTCTGTGGCAACAGTTTGGGGAAGGCCCTTTCCTGTTTCAGCATGACAATGCCAGAAGAGTGGAGGCTGTTATAGCAGCAAAGGGGGGACCAACTCCATATGAATGATTGTGAAATGAGATGTTTGACGAGCAGGTGTCCACATACCTTTGGTAATGTAGTGTAGGTTAACTTGAACCCATTTGCAGTCCATATTGTTCTAAGTAATTGCATGGCTTCAATAGCATTCACACTGATATAGGGGCTATGCTTACTGTAAATTGCATTATGGCTGAACATGGACATGCTAAACATTGTCAATAAGCATATTACACTGCACAATATTAAAACAATGCAGACTATGGAGGGTTTTACACACATCCAAAATGGGACCTGCATGGCTAAAATAATGTGGGCCTGCCTACAATGCATAGATAAAAAGGGAATGTCAGCTCACTGTTTTATTCTCAAACTTGATATTTTAATAAAGCTTTGGTGATTAAGATTTATTTCCAAGCGGTCTTGCCAAACCCTTTATCGACAGTCTTGAATACTTTGCGACTGCATTGAGCAGACAAAAAAAAGCCTTAGTTGAGAGGAGGGGAGGCTATGCTTTGTTAACCAGCTGTTGCTAAAAACTGGGTTTAAAATGGTGCAGTTCGAGGATATTTAGGAGTTGATAAATAAATATAGTAGGAATGGAAAGCTGGGATCCCCTCTTAACAAAGGCCATTAAAACTGCAGTTTTCTCTGTGACAGCAATCATTTTTGTCCATTGACTGCTTGTCAGAATACGTTTCCCTCCCTATGGCACTCATAACTTGAATGCGCCTCGAGAATAATTTATCTCGCATAGAACACACAACAACAACCCGACTAGTTAAATACAGTGGCTTGCAAAAGTATTCACCCCCCTTGGTATTTTTCCTATTTTGTTGCCTTACAACCTGGAATTAAAATGGATTTTGGGGGGGTTTGTATAATTTGATTTACACAACATGCCTACCACTTTGAAGATGCTAAATAAAAATGTTTGTGAAACAAACAGGAAATAAGACAGAAAAACAGAACTTGAGCGTGCATAACTATTCACCCCCCCCCCCCTAGTATGTCTCTATAAGCTTGGCACATCTAGCCACTGGGATTTTTGCCCATTCTTCAAGGCAAAACTGCTCCAGCTCCTTCAAGTTGGATGGGTTCCGCTGGTGTACAGCAATCTTTAAGTCATACCACAGATTCTCAATTGGATTGAGGTCTGGGCTTTGACTAGGCCATTCCAAGACATTTAAATGTTTACTCTTAAACCACTCAAGTGTTGCTTTAGCAGTATGCTTAGGGTCATTGTCCTGCTGGAAGGTGAACCTCTGTCCCAGTCTCAAATCTCTGGAAGACTGAAACAGGTTTCCCTCAAGAATTTCCCTGTATTTAGCGCCATCCATCATTCCTTCAATTCTGACCAGTTTCCCAGTGCCTGCCGATAAAAAAAACATCCCCACAGCATGATGCTGCCACCACCATGCTTCACTGTGGGGATGGTGTTCTCGGGGTGATGAGAGGTGTTGGGTTTGCGCCAGACATAGCATTTTCCTTGATGGCTAAAAAGCTCAATTTTAGTCTCATCTGACCAGAGTACATTCTTCCATATGTTTGGGGAGTCTCCCACATGCCTTTTGGCGAACACCAAACGTGTTTGCTTATTTTTTTCTTTAAGCAATGGTTCCTTTCTGGCCACTCTTCCGTAAAGCCCAGCTCTCTGGAGTGTACAGCTTAAATTGGTCCTATGGACAGATACTCCAATCTCCGCTGTGGAGCTTTGCAGCTCCTTCAGGGTTATCTTTGGTCTCGTTGTTGCTTCTCTGATTTACATTTTAGTCATTTAGCAGACGCTCTTATCCAGAGAGACTTACAGTTAGTGAATGCATACATGTTTTTTTATTTTTATTTTTCATACTGGCCCCCTGTGGGAAACGAACCCACATCTCTGCCAGCCAAACCCTCCCCTACCTTGGACGACGCTGGACCAATTGTGCGCCGCCCATGTGTCTCCCGGTCGCGGCCAGCTGCGACAGAGCCTGGACTCGAACCAGGATCTCAAGTAGCACAGCTAGCACTGCGATGTAGTGCCTTAGACACTGCGCCACTGATTAATGCCCTCCTTGCCTGGTCTGTGAGTTTTGGTGGGCGGCCCTCTCTTGGCAGGTTTATTGTGGTGCCATATTCTTTCAGTCTTTTAATAATGGATTTAATGGTGCTCCGAGGGATGTTCAAAGTTTGAGATATTTTTTTATAACCCAACCCTGATCTGTACTTCTCCACAACTTTGTCCCTGACCTGTATGGAAAGCACCTTGGTCATCATGGTGCCGCTTGCTTGGTGGTGCCCCTTGCTTGGTGGTGCCCCTTGCTTGGTGGTGTTGCAGACTCTGGGGCCTTTCAGAACAGGTGTATATATGCTGGGATCATGTGACAGATCATGTGACACTTAGATTGCACACAGGTGGACTTTATTTTACTAATTATGTGACTTGTGAAGGTAATTGGTTGCACCATATCTTATTTAGATATGCAAAGGAGGTGAATACATATGCACGCACCACTTTTCCGTTATTAATTTTTTCGAATTTTTTGAAACAAGTTATTTTTATAATTTTACTTCACCAATTTGGACTATTTTGTGTATGTCCATTACATGAAATCCAAATAAAAATCCATTTAAATTACAGGTTGTAATGCAACAAAGCCGGAAAAACAGCAAGGGGGGTGAATACTTTTGCAAGGCACTGTAGATAAACTATTCTACTACGGCGTAGTCCGATCTTTCTATTCACTACTCGTTTTGTTTTCAGAGGAGAAGTATATGTGGAATGTTCTAGCATCTTCTAAGTGCACCTCAGCAGAAATAATTGTTCATGTTCCATATTTTTTGGGCGTGGCGCCAATGATTTTGCCGTGGCGCAGCGCCACATATAAATGACTGCAGCGGAAACAATGCACAAGCGCAATTGCTAACTAGCCTTAGCGCAATGTCTGGAAGTCTGTGGGTATCTGCTACCCTAGTTAGCATTGGCTCACGAAACTACCTCTAATTTCCTTCATACTGGACACAGAGACATAAAAATGGTATCCATGAGTTCATCAGACTCTGGGGAGATATACCTTTAAGCATGAGAATAGCAAATGAGTAATCCATTTGGATAAGGGAATTGTAAAAATACAGTGCATTCGGAAAGTATTCAGACCCCTTGACTTTTACCACATTTTGGTATGTTACAGCCTTATTCTAAAATTGATTAAATTGTTTTTTTCGTCATCAATCTACACACAATACCCCATAATGACAAAGCAAAAACACGTTTTTAGACATTTTTGCAATTTGATTAACATTTAAAAAAAGTATTCAGACCCTTTACTCAGTACTTTGTTGAAGCACCTTTGGCAGTGATTACAGCCTTGAGTCTTCTTGGGTATGACACTACAAGCTTGGCACACCTGTATTTGGGGAGTTTCTCCCATGCTTCTCTGCAGATCCTCTCAAGCTCTGTCAGGTTGGATGGGGAGCATTGCTGCACAGCTATTTTCAGGTCTCTCCAGAGATGTTAGATCGGGTTCAAGTCCGGGCTCTGGCTGGGCCACTCAAGGACATTCAGAGACTTGTCCCAAAGATGGGAAAATGCTTACAAGAAAGAAATGGATGAAGAAAGTTTGCGATTTCCATTGTTACTTGTAATGTTAAAAAGGGACGAAAAAGACAATCCCATTTTTCTAAATTAGCTATCAAGGCTACTCACCGTACTATAGGCTACAGATTTGAGTAATCCACTAGAATAGTTATTTCTATGTTTAGCTAAGTTTAGTTTAATAATTCAACCATTTTCAAAAACAAGCACACATAAAACTTGAAAAAGCCATACATGTTGTTGAGTAGGCCGAAATCTTAGTTTAATCTAATTATTCATCTAACAATACAAATCCTTATTATTTTGTAAGGTATTTTTACGTTGCAATAAAGTTGACTAAACTAGAAGCTCATCTTTTGTTTGTAGGTATTTTCACTTGGTAATGAGTAAAAAGTAATTATATAGAAATTGCTATAGGTCCTGTGTAACAACTAGCAACAACCTTGTATTTATGCAGATATTACAGATATGTACTCTGTTGTGTATTAGTGTGTTTATTTTCTCACTTGGATGGCGCTTTCAGAAGCTGACGATTAGATTGTCAGAATGGGTAACATACTTTGTAGGTACACAATAATTACAAGTAAGTACACCTCAAGATACACTTCATTTTAACTAGTGAAATCCTGTGTAACAACTAGTAATTACAATGTACCTGTGCAGATATTACATGTACTCTGTGGTGTACTTGAGGGTTTATGCTCTCACTTGGATGGTAACAAGGTTCAGGTTGCCATATTGGGTAATGTACACATTAACTCTAAGTTATTTTTTTATTATAATCTGGGATGACACCCGTATGGTAGACCCCAGTCAATGAGGTTGACCTACTGTATATCTGATCCGTTTTTGTAAACTCAACTAAGTTAACCCAGATAGTACACTTTTTGGGGACAAGTGCTAGCAACAACATTGAGTGGAGATTTTGAAGAGTGCACATTCACAGGCAGGTAATTAAAGCCTATTGAGCTTCCAACCTTTGTGAATTCCTAAGTGGGAATCGGCCCCTAAGATTATATGGGGATGTATCAAAGCTCTGCTCGAGTTACTGATTGATATACAATAGATGATGCTTTAAAAGATCAGGATGACCTCAGGTAAATGAGTGACTTTACTACTCTAGTATCTCATTCTACTCACAGAATGATTGGCTATGTTCAAAACCATGTGACCATCACATCAGCGTGAGGTGTGAAGAGGTTCCTCAACAGACCAAAGTCAGTTAGGTCACATGACACAGAGAAATACAAGCCTGAGTAACAACACCTAGACAGACAACTAAAATAAAGTTGTCTAAGGCCCCCCCCCCCCCTCCCCCATTCCATAGAAGCCTTGTCTAAGGGGAATTTTCTGTTGTATGTTAACGCACTGAAGTCTGCACAATTGACTGTTCGCCAAATATGTATAACATCAATATTTTTTCTCACTATTCCCTGAATGCTGTTGTGTTTCAGTTTGACTTAGTGTGCAATGACAAATGGAAGCAGCCATTCACTTCCTCTGTGTACTTCCTTGGGGTGCTGTGTGGCTCATTCTTCTCTGGACAGCTCTCTGACCGGTACTGAACCTCATGATGATCACTAAACAGTAAGGACGTATCCCAAATGGCACCCTTTTACCTTTATAGTGCACTAGTTCATAGTACACTATAAAGGAATAAAGTGTGATGGGGTGCAGCCTAAACTTTGTTGATTGTATGGATGGACTAGACCTATTTGCAGCTTCATAAAATCCTCCTCAATAAAATCTTTGGAATATTAACTTGATTTAAATATAATTTGACTGAAGAATGTCCCCTCTCTTCTGATCTCTAAATCCCTTGTGTGTTTGTAGGTTTGGGCGAAAGCCTGTCCTTTTTGTGACCATGGCAGTCCAGACACTCTTTACCTTTGTTCAAGTCTTTTCTCAGTCCTGGGAAATGTTCTCAGTCCTCTTCTTCATTGTGGGACTGGGGCAAATATCCAACTATGTGGCAGCGTTCGTATTGGGTAAGTCATGCAAATCACAGGTTTAAGTGACACCATTCTTACAATCTTGGGTGAAATATAGTAAAACGGTAATAAAGCCTCAAGTCTGTATGTCTTTGTTTATTTATTGCTTTATTCAGGTACAGAAATGTTGACGGGCACTGTGCGTGTCCTGTACGTTACCCTGGGGGTGTGTCTGTTCTTTGCCTTTGGCTACATGATGCTGCCCCTCATGGCATTCTTCATCCGAGACTGGAGGTCGCTCCTTCTAATTATGTCTGTACCTGGCCTGGTATACATCCCCCTCTGGTGGTAGGTTGTGGGTAACACACCTCAGACATCAACCAAAGGTCACAAACAGTCACAAAATGCATAGACATTTTTACATGAGAAATAAACTGTACATGAGAAAATGCTTCTGATGTAGGCTATACCATGATCCTTCCTCAGTCTTGGTTTATTTTAATCATGTGTATGAAACCTAGGGTATTGTTTTGAATATTGTAGTATTAGATTTAGTGTATCTTAATGTGACATTTACTTTAAAATTAATTGTGCAACAGGTTCATCCCAGAGTCTCCCAGATGGCTGCTCTCTCAGGGAAGAGTGCAGGAGGCTGAGGCCATACTAAGAGACGCTGCCAGGAGGAACAGAGTCACAGCACCAGAGGTCATCTTTGAGGAGTCAGAGGTACAGTGAGGGAAAAAAGTATTTGATCCCCTGCTGATTTTGTACGTTTGCCCACTGACAAAGACATGATCAGTCTATAATTTTAATGGTATGTTTATTTTAACAGTGAGAGACAGAATAACTACAAAAAAAATCCAGAAAAACGCATGTCAAAAATGTTAATAATTTATTTGCATTTTAATGAGGGAAATATTTGAAAAGGTATGCAGTCTGACTGAGTTAACAGAATTCATTTCGGCAACCCAGATTAGATGTGCTACTAACACTGTGTTTTACAGGGTGAAGAGAAACCTAAACCAGAGGAACGTCACAGTCCTCTGGACCTCCTGAGGACCAGCAACATTCGTAACATCACCATCATATTGTCTCTAGTGTGGTGAGCAACCATGACAGTCCACAAGATCACACTGGGACACTCCCGCAGTCTACTCTTTTTAACCTTATCTCGTGATCATGGCATGCCATTCAGGATCTCCCATTGATGTGAGGCATTATTTACAGGAAAGTTGGAGTTAGGATCTGCTTCTAATTGACTGGCCTATTGCCATGAACTTCAGTCTGTGAATATCTTTGACCACAGCCATATTAGGCCCCCATGGTTACGGTAACATGATGTAATAGTAGAAGCTGTTCTTGGTTTCTCGCAGTCATAGACTGAATTGTACAGCAATTTACAATGATAGTAACATGATTGTAACATTATGTATTTATTTTACACAACCAGCTCATCCCATGACAGATGTTTGACAACAGGGGGGTTGCACGTGGAAGTGCATATATTGAGAGACATTACATTTACGTCATTTAGCAGACGCTCTTATCCAGAGCGACTTACAGTTAGATTACATATATATTTTTTTATACTGGCCCCCCGTGGGAATCGAACCCATAACCCTGGCGTTGCAAACGCCATGCTCTATCAACTGAGCTACATCCCTGCCGGCCATTCCCTCCCCTACCCTGGGCCAATTGTGCGCCGCCCATGAGTCTCCCGGTCGCGGCCGGCTGCGACAGAGCCTGGATTCGAACCAGGATCTCTAGTGGCACAGTTAGCACTGCGATGCAGTGCCTTAGACCACTGCGCCACTCAGAGACAACTTGTATAGCTCACTTAACTAAACAGGTCAATGTTTAACAAGGTTAACAGATAGTAGGAATGTTAATGCATCAACAGTTCAAAAGATCAGGTTGAAGGGGCAGGGGCGACTAAGAAACAAAATAATGTTATCCAAAAAGTTATGCAAAACCTGGTTAACGAAGCAACCTTGACCATACCACCTCACTCTGCCTCTCCACTGTCCATACTGTGTAACGTAGACCTACAGTGTCTTTACCTGGCTGTCGTCACCTATTGTGAGAAGTCTCACTTCAGATGGCTGATATTTGCATTGTTTACGTGTTTCATACTTTCAATGTGCTATCCAGGTTCACTCTGAGTATGGGCTACTTCGCCATATCCCTGAACACATCCCGTCTCCATGGAGACCCCTATGTGAACTGTTTCATCTCTGCTGCCATCGAGGTGCCTGCTTACATCATCAGCTGGCTGTTATTGCGCTACCTACCCAGGAGGATGTCTGCCTCCTCTAGCATGCTGCTAGGAGGGGGAGCGCTCTACTTCATCCAGCTGGTACCGCCAAGTAAGACTGTGTACCAAATTGCACACTATTTCCCCATTGGGCTCTGGTCCAAAGGAGTGCCCTCTAAAGGGAATAGGGTGCCATTTGAGACGCATCCAGAAACTAGACTGACTGGCAGTTCTTGGTCCCACAATACAGTATCATAACCATGAAAAAGATCACCAATAGGCACACATTTTTGTAATTTAGCAGACACTCTTATCCAGAGCGATTAGGGTTAAGTGCCTTGCTCAAGGGCACATCAACAGTTTTTTCACCTAGTCAGCTCGGGGATTAGAACCAGCAACCTTTTGGTTACTGGCACAATGCTCTTAACCACTAAGCTACCTGCCAGGAGGAACAGAGTCACACCACCAGAGGTCATCTTTGAGGAGTCAGAGGTGGGGGAAAAAAGTATTTGATCCCCTGCTGATTTTGCACACAAAAGAAGATTGAGACTTTGATTAACAATACCATATGTATCTCTCTGGCCCAGGTCTACCTAGCCTATCCATAGCCCTGGAGATGTTCGGTAAATTTGGCATGGCCACTGGTACTGCACTGATGTATGCCTACACTGGAGAGCTGTATCCCACAGTGATCAGGAACACTGCATTAGGCTCCTGTGCCATGATCTCTCGGGTAGGCAGTATCATCGCTCCCTACATCATGACCTTGAGTGAGTGGTTAGTTCAAATGCAACAATTGACCACACCAGTGGTGCTTAAAAGAGCCACATTCATATTCAGCTTTTCTGGCTATATATTATGTCAAGTCCCATGCAATGTTTGAAATACATTAATAATTGTGTTCTCTCTCTCTCTCTGAAGGTACCTGTTATAAGTATTTGCCATACATTTTACTGGGGAGTTTTCTTGTGCTGTCAGCTATGGCCATTCCCTTTTTACCAGAGAGCTTTGGCCATCCTCTACCAGAGACCATTCAGCAGATGCACAAACGAGAGTGGTGAGCAATACGCATCACCTCATACTGGAGTTTAGTTTATTGGTCTTTCAGCATTATTACAGGTTATTTATGAAACAGTTGCAATTGAAAACACTGAATGACTTAGCTAATGTTAATGATGAGAGAAAACAATTATTTAATAGTTTGTTAATCTTTCCTACAGGCTAAAGTGCCCATGCATCTCTGAAGAGGATAAGAGAACACATGAACAGCCCAATGGTACAACCAAAATCCTACTGGAGATTGGGTTGTGATTTACTTTATAACTGCTTTGAACATACACTAAAAGTATGTGGACACCGTTTCAAATGAGTGGGTTTGGCTATTTCAGCCACACCCGTTGCTGACAGGTGTATACAATTGAGCACACAGCCATGCAATCTCCATAGACAAACATTGGCAGTAGAATGGCCCGTACTGAAGAGCTCAATGACTTTCAACGTGGCACCGTCATAGGATGCCACCTTTCCAACAAGTCAGTTCGTCAAATTTCTGCCCTGCTAGAGCTGCCCCAGTCAACTGTAAGTGCTGTTATTGTGAAGTGGAAACGTCTAGGAGCAACAATGGCCTAGCCGCGATGTGGTAGGCTACACAAACTCACAGAATGGGCAACACTACCGAGTTCCAAACTGCCTCTGGAAGCAACGTCAGCACAATAATTGTTCGTCGGGAGCTTCATGAAATGGGTTTCCATGGCCAAGCAGCTGCACACAAGCCTAAGATCACCATGCACAATGCCACTTGTCGGCTTGAGTGGTGTAAAGCTCGCCGCCATTGGACTCTGGAGCAGTGGAAACGCATTTTCTGGAGTGATGAATCACGCTTCACCATCTGGCAGTCCGACAGATTAATCTGGGTTTGGGGGATGCCAGGAGATTACCTACCCCAATGCATAGTGCCAACTGTAAAGTTTGGTGGAGGAGGAATAATGGTCTAGGGCTGTTTTTCATGGTTCGGGCTAGGCCCCTTAGTTCCAGGGAAGGGAAATCTTAACGTTACAGCATAAAGTGACATTCTAGACGATTCTGTGCTTCCAACTTTGTGGCAACAGTTTGTGTAAGGCCCTTTACTGTTTCAGCATGATATATAACCCCGTGCACAAAGCGAGGTCCATACAGAAATGTTTTGTTGAGATCGGTGTGGAAGAATTTGACTGGCCTGCACAGAGTCCTGACCTCAACCCCATCGAACACCTTTGAGATGAATTGGACTGCCGAATGCGAGCCAGGCCTAATTGCCCAACATCAGTGCCCGACCTCACTAATGCTCTTGTGGCTGAATGGAAGCAAGTCCCCGCAGCAATGTTCCAACATCTAGTGGAAAGCCTTCCCAGAAGAGTGGAGGCTGTTATAGCAGCAAAGGGGGGACCAACTCCCTATTAAAGCCGATGATTTTGGAATGAGATGTTCAGGTAATAATAAATAATAATAATAGTGTCCACATACTTTCATTTGGTGTTTTGTCCAGTGTAAATATATAATTTTTTTTCTTACATTTTGTATTGCATTGATCATGCCATAGATTGTATAAGACAAGTGTTTAATGTTGGCATTCATATGAATACATTTGAAGTCGGAAGTTTACATACACTTAGGTTGGAGTCATTAAAACTCGTTTTTCAACCACTCCACAAATTTCTTTTTAACAAACTATAGTTTTGGCAAGTCGGTTAGGACATCTACTTTGTGCATGACACAAGTAATTTTTCCAACAATTGTTTACAGACAGATTATTTCACTTATAATTCACTGTATCACAATGTTAGTGGGTCAGAAGTTTACATACACTAAGTTGACTGTGCCTTTAAACAGCTTGGAAAATTCCAGAAAAGAATGTCATGGCTTTAGAAGATTCTGATAGGCTAATTGACATAATTTGAGTAAATTGGAGGTGTACCTGTGGATGTATTTCAAGGCCTACCTTCAAATGTAGTGCCTCTTCGCTTGACATCATGGGAAAATCAAAAGAAATCAGCCAAGATCTCAGAAACAAAATTGTAGACCTCCACAAGTCTGGTTCATCCTTGGGAGCAATTTCCAAACACCTGAAGGTACCACGTTCATCTGTACAAACAATAGTACGCAAGTATAAACACCATGGGACCACGCAGCCATCATACCGCTCCGGAAGGAGATGCGTTCTGTCTCCTAGAGATGAACGTACTTTGGTGCGAAAAGTGCAAATCAATCCCAGAACAACAGCAAAGGACCTTGTGAAGATGCTGGAGGAAACAGGTACAAAAATATCTATATCCACAGTAAAACGAGTCCTATATCGACATAACCTGAAAGGCCGCTCAGCAAGGAAGAAGCCACTGCTCCAAAACCGCCATAAAAAAGCCAGACTACGGTTTGCAACTGCACATGGGGACAAAGATCGTACTTTTTGGAGAAATGTCCTCTGGTCTGATGAAACAAAAATAGAACTGTTTGGCCATAAAGACATCGTTATGTTTGGAGGAAAAAGGGGGTTGCTTGCAAGCCGAAGAACACCATCCCAACCGTGAAGCACGGGGGTGGCAGCATATCATGCTGTGGGGATGCTTTGCTGCAGGAGGGACTGATGCACTTCACAAAATAGATGGCATCATGAGGAAGGAAAATTATGTGGATATATTGAAGCAACATCTCAAGACATCAATCAGGAAGTTAAAGCTTGGTCGCAAATGAGTCTTCCAACTGGACAATGACCCCAAGCATACTTCCAAAGTTTTGGCAAAATGGCTTAAGGACAACAAAGTCAAGGTATTGGAGTGGCCATCACAAAGCCTTGACCTCAATCCTATAGAAAATGTGTGGGCAGAACTGAAAAAGTGTGTGCGAGCAAGGAGCCCTACAAACCTGACTCAGTTACACCAGCTCTGTCTGGAGGAATGGGCCAAAATTCACCCAACTTATTGTGGGAAGCTTGTGGAAGACTACCCGAAACGTTTGACCCAAGTTAAACAATTTAAAGTCAATGCTACCAAATACTAATTGAGTGCATGTAAACTTTTGACCCACTGGGAATGTGATGAAAGAAATAAAAGCTGAAATAAATCATTCTCTCTACTATTATTCTGACATTTCACATTCTTAAAATAAAGTGGTAATCGTAACTGACCTAAGACATGGAATATTTACTAGGATTAAATGTCAGGAATTGTGAAAAACTGAGTTTAAATGTATTTGGCTAAGGTGTATGTAAACTTCCGACTTCAACTATACCTTCATAGCGTGTTAATAGAAAAGATTTGACACTTTGCTTGACCTAGATGAAGGCAAAAGACTCATTTTAAATTAAATGTATGACGTCTTTCGAGGAGATGCTTTGATACCAAGAGCCTGCCAATGCAATGTTGACTTTGTTATTTGGTTATCAAGAAGCCAACAAAACACTCCTCACTACTCCTCATTAAGTGTTCTTCTCAATACTTTTGCAGTCACTATAATTCCAGTTTCAGACACTTATACCAATTTTATAAAAAATTCAATGTGAGAACACAAACTCTGTTCAAACTCTAATATATACAGTGCCTTCAAAAAGTATTCACACCCCTTGACTTTTTCAAAATGTTGTTGTGTTACAGCCTGAATTTAAAATTAATTAAATTGAGATTTGTTTGACACTGGCCTACACACAATACCCCATAATGTCAAAGTGGAATTATGTTTTTAGAATTTTTTTACAAATTAATAAAAATGAAAAGCTGAAATGTCTGGAGTCAATAAGTATTCAACCCCTTCATTATGGCAAGCCTAAATACATTTAGGAGTAATCATTTGCTTAACAGGTCACATAATACGTTTGCATGGACTCGTTCTGTGTGCAATAGTGTTTAACATGATTTTTGAATGACTACCTCATCTCTGTACCCCACACATACAATTATCTGTAAGGTCTCTCAGTCGAGCAGTGAATTTCAAACACAGAGTCAACCACAAAGACCAGGGAGGTTTTCCATTGCCTCGCAAAGAATGGTACCTATTGGTAGAATAAAAAAAAAGCAGACATTGAATATCCCTTTGATGTTGAAGTTATGAATTACACTTTGGATAGTGTATCAATACACCCAGTCACTATACACACAGTGTTTGCAAACCTGGTCAAGACCTACAGGAAACGTATGATCTCTGTAATTGCAACAAAGGTTTCTGTACCAAATATTAAGTTCTGCTTTGCTGATGTATCAAATACTTATGTCATGCAATAAAATGCAAATTAATTACTTAAAAATCATACAATGTGATTTTCTGGATTTTTGTTTTAGATTCCGTCTCTCACAGTTGAAGTGTACCTATGATAAAAATTACAGACCTCTACATGCTTTGTAAGTAGGAAAACCTGCAAAATCGGCAGTGTATCAAATACTTGTTCTCCCCACTGTGTATATATATATATATTATAAATATCTTTGTAAAAGTTTATTTGCTGTCTTTATGTTGATACAAGTTTTACAAAAAGCTGTGAAAAGGCTCATCTCTGCATTTTACTATGAATTAATTATTTTGTTAGGATATTCATTGTTGTCCTCTAGCTCTGTGAGATACAAAATCCTAGCAAGAGTCAATATATAAAAATAAAACGTGCAGTTATAAAATCAGTGAGTACCAGCAAAGGAAGTACAATATATGCTAAACAATACTGATATCAAAATCGCTTATATAAAATGCATACAAAAAGTGTGTTTATAAGCATCTTGGTTAGTAACGCAACGTGGCAATACAAATACATGTTGAAGGAACAACAGAGGTGTTCAGTAGCTGTCACAAAGTATCGGACACATCTTCCTCTCCTGTAGTTTGGCTCAGTTTATACACTGCTCTCTTTTTCCATCTGAGGGAAAGGCAAAAAATAGACCATTGACATATCAGACATGCAGCATCATCTCACAAACATAATCTCTGCAAGTGTGTGATTCTGGTTTCAAGTAAGCTTCAAAGAGTGGTTGGTTGTTGATAAACAAAGTTGATAAATGCTTTTCCCATTCAATAAGTTTTGGGTTCAAACTACTTGAATATAAACTGTTAAATATGAAACATGAAATATTTCCACCTGTACAATTGTAGAGCTCATGTATTATAACATCGGTGCCTTTTTGAACCAGCTGGGTTGTGTCCCTAGACACCAACGAACAAAACGTGGAGGGACTACCTGAATCTGTCAAATAAGACTCTCGTTTTCGTTTTCCATTGCAAAAGGTTTTGCTACGGTGTGCACTAATGAATATGACCCTGTTGTCCCTGTGGCACTGTTACAATACCATGCCAGCAGAGAGCAGCACACATAAAGCAGCTTTGGTGTTATATGGCCTTACCCTGGGAAGGTCTGCATGTGAGTGATGGCGTCTGGAAGAGGCATACGATGGCTCTCGGGCAGCAGGAGGCTAAGCAACCCAGACAGAGCTGTAAGACTCCCCATTAGAATGTATGGCAGGGACTTGGAATAGCCTCCTGTGTCACAGACAGCAGCAATACATGAGAGAGTGGAAAACATTGTTTTCAATTAGATCAGCTCAAAACAATGCAATGAACAAAAGGTGAAGAGACTTAAGAGTGTTTTATGCTGTGCTTCTGCTTGTATGTCTGTCAGAGGAGGCTGGTGGGAGGAGCTATAGGAGGATGTGCTCATTGTAATGGCTGGAATGGAATAAATATAACGGTATCAAACAGATCAAACATTTGGAAACAAAATGTTTGACTCCATTACATTAATTGCATTCCAGTCATTACAATGAGCCCGTCCTCCTATAGCTGCTTCCACCAGCCTCCGCTGATGTCTGGATGCATAAATCACTTGGTTTGACTGCGTTTAAGAAGTTTGATCAAGACTGGATACAGTAAGGAGCAAATGTAAGAAGGTAAGAGGAAGCCCCAGTTGCCAGAGAGACAGGGGTGGTGGAGGGGTTCCAAACTCGTACAGGTTGGACAGGACAGGAGGTGGCAGAATAGACAGAGCCATCACACACATCTGACTAACGGGAGGGGAATGTGTGTCTACCCAACAGACAGAGAGGACAGGGGAGAGAGGAGAGGCGTTGATAGGATAGCACTATATTCTTTACTACTAACTATTTTCTATTTATTGAGAAACTACATGGTAACAAGCGGTACTTGTGTTTGTTCCTCATTTTCCTATTTATCGAGAAACTACACGGTTCAAGCAGTATGGAAAAGTCAATTAGTTTAAGTGGCTTGCTGTTATACTTGCTGTTGTTCATTACACGAGACTGAGCCCCATAGTTCATTTCTAGCTACTATACGTAATTACACATTTTTCCATGTAGTTTCTGAGAAAATACTAAGTTAAAAGGTGTACTGTTTTGCACGTCCTAAACTTCAGAATGACAGATAGGCTAAACAATAACAAAGAGATAAAGGGATGATAGGCCCGCACACAAAATATTGCTGCTCCGCAGTGCTTCCATGTACGGACCTCTCTTTCCTTTAGCTTAGTTTTGAGTCCTACCCACCCAGATATATGAAGTATGGGGCAGAGATGCTCCCCACTCTGGAGGCCATGGAGCAGGCCCCTATGGCTGTGTTCCTCACGACAGTGGGGTAGAGCTCAGCCGTGTAGGCGTACACAATTGAAAAAGCTGCAGTCACACCAAACTTCCCCAGCATCTCTAGTGCAGTGGACACAGAGCTCAGATCTGCCAAGGACACAGCAATGGAGGGCCAATGGAGGTCATGTCATAGATTCTTATAGAAGGGTTCATTTGTTATTGAAATATATTCTATACCTGAAATCTTGTCACCATTCTATGCCATCAATTGTCCGTTTTCAAACTCAATATTGTTGATTCACTCTGGTTTTTATCTGCATGTCTATATTCACTTTTCTCTCCGTTATTAGGGTGATTTGATAACAGAATGTCTTTATGAATACCTCCATCTTTGTTTGAGTCTTACTTGGTGGTATGAGGTTTATGAAGAGCAGCACCACCCCACCCAGAAACAGAGTGGAGAAGAGACACAGGCGCCGGGGGCAGCAGCGGAACATGAGCCAGGCCATGGTATAGGCAGGGACCTCAATGGCAGCCGACAGAAAACAGTTCAGATAGGAGCTCCCGGCCAGGTTGGACGTGTTCAGTGACAAGGCAAAGTACCCGATGGACAGAATGGTCCTGAGGAGACAAACATGGGTTGCGTCCATCATTGTTTGAGTCCCAAACGGCACCCAATTCCCAGTATAGTGCACTACTTTTGACCAGGGCCCGTAGACATGGCTTTTTGAAGTGACAATCAGCACACACAGTACTGTACCATGCTGGTGCAGGGAATGAAACCCTCTGTCATAATGGTGCAGGGAATGAAACCCTCTGTCATAATGGTGCAGGGAATGAAACCCTCTGTCATAATGGTGCAGGGAATGAAACCCTCTGTCATAATGGTGCAGGGAATGAAACCCTCTGTCATAATGGTGCAGGGAATGAAACCCTCTGTCATAATGGTGCAGGGAAGGAAACCCTCTGTCATAATGGTGCAGGGAATGAAACCCTCTGTCATAATGGTGCAGGGAATGAAACCCTCTGTCATAATGGTGCAGGGAATGAAACCCTCTGTCATAATGGTGCAGGGAATGAAACCCTCTGTCATAATGGTGCAGGGAAGGAAACCCTCTGTCATAATGGTGCAGGGAAGGAAACCCTCTGTCATAATGGTGCAGGGAAGGAAACACTCTGTCATAATGGTGCAGGGAATGAAACCCTCTGTCATAATGGTGCAGGGAAGGAAACCCTCTGTCATAATGGTGCAGGGAATGAAACCCTCTGTCATAATGGTGCAGGGAAGGAAACCCTCTGTCATAATGGTGCAGGGAATGAAACCCTCTGTCATAATGGTGCAGGGAATGAAACCCTCTGTCATAATGGTGCAGGGAATGAAACCCTCTGTCATAATGGTGCAGGGAATGAAACCCTCTGTCATAATGGTGCAGGGAATGAAACCCTCTGTCATAATGGTGCAGGGAATGAAACCCTCTGTCATAATGGTGCAGGGAATGAAACCCTCTGTCATAATGGTGCAGGGAATGAAACCCTCTGTCATAATGGTGCAGGGAAGGAAACCCTCTGTCATAATGGTGCAGGGAATGAAACCCTCTGTCATAATGGTGCAGGGAAGGAAACCCTCTGTCATAATGGTGCAGGGAATGAAACCCTCTGGCATAATGGTGCAGGGAATGAAACCCTCTGTCATAATGGTGCAGGGAATGAAACCCTCTGTCATAATGGTGCAGGGAAGGAAACCCTCTGTCATAATGGTGCAGGGAATGAAACCCTCTGTCATAATGGTGCAGGGAAGGAAACCCTCTGTCATAATGGTGCAGGGAAGGAAAGCAACAATTCAAGCACCATTGTTTAGCTCCTCATACAAGAAGTCTGACTGAAGAAGGCATTTATTTGGTCAACCGAAACATCAACCAAATAAATGACCCTTAGGTAGCAGAATCTGTGTGGGAGTAATTATTGTATGAGGATGGAAACCAAGATGGGCGTTAAAATGCAGTTACATAAGCATATGTGACCCCATATCTGGGTTTATGGGGCAGATGAGTTTTGTGTTTGTTATTGGCGATGCAGGGTGTCGGGGGAACGGACAAGACTCACCAGACCAACCACAGCGTGATGGACACCCAGCGGATGTTGCTGGACCTCACCAGATCACAGATGTTGTGGGCCACCAACTTCCCAGCCTTGGGCTCTATCTGCAGTGCAATAAAGCACACGTCACAACAGGCATGCTTGATTCAACTTGTGCAATGCATTGACCTACAGGCTCAGCCATGAGTTTCAAAGGAGAGTTATACAAATTATGTCAACAATCATCCATCTGTGTGGACAGAGATGAAGTAGGATGGGGATGAGAAATAGGAAGGGCCCTTTCTATTACAGAACAAGTTGACAGCTCATATGTCAGGTAGACTAACCTGGCTTGGATAAAGCAACTGAATAAAAATATAAACGCAACATGTAAAGTGTTGGTCCCATGTTTCATGAGCTGAAATAAAAGATCCCAGAAATGTTCAATATGCACAAAAAGCTTATTTCTCACAAATTCTGTGCACAAATTTGTTTACATCCCTGTTAGTGAGCATTTCTCCTTTGCCAAGATAATCCATCCACCTGACAGGTGTGGTATATCAAGAAGCTGATTAAAAAGCATGATCATTACCTTGTGCTGGGGACAGTAAAAGGACACTCTAAAATGTGCAGTTTTGTCACACAACACAATGCCACAGTTTTGAGGTAGCATGCAATTGGCATGCTGACTGCAGGACTGTCCACCAGAGCTGTTGCCAGAGAATTGAATGTTCATTTATCTACCATAAGCCGCCTCCAACGTCGTTTTAGAGAAATTGACAGTACATCCAACCAGCATCACAACCCCAGACCACGTGTAACCATGCCAGCCCAGGACCTCCACATCCGGCTTCCTCACCTGTGGGGGAAAACTTATTCTGATTGGCTGGGCCTGGCTCCCAAGTGGGTGGGCCTATGCCCTCCCAGGCCCACCCATGGCTGAGCCCCTGCCCAGTCATGTGAAATCCATAGATTAGTGCCTAATTTATTTATTTAAATTGACTGATTTCCTTATATGAACTGTAACGCAGTAAAATCGTTGAAATTGTTGCATGTTGCGTTTATATTTTTGTTCATTATCTCAAAGCAAGTGACAACCACTGTGATCATCTTATGGACCACAACCTCCACAAGTAAGGGTAATTCATAATGTTGTAGGCTTAAATGACAGCATGGCACATTGAGAAGTGAAGGAGATGAGCAAACACACATAACACAAGTTAAAGCCTGGAGGTCATTTTACGGGTCATGTACACCAAAGCAGGTCAAACACACTGGATTGTATTCATAAAGAATCTTAGAGTAGGAGTGCTGATCTAGGATCAGGTCCCTGTGTCCATTAAATATGATCAGTACCTGTACTCTGAGACGCTTTATGAATAAAGGCCTTTGTCTTACAACTCCCAGGACTAAAACTTCAGAGAAAAGTAGTAGCTACACTACCAGTCATAAGTTTGGACACACCTACTCATTCAAGGGATTTCAAGGGTTATTTTTTTAACAATTTTTTACATTGTAGAATAATAGTGAAGACATCAAAACTATGAAATAACATATATAGAATCATGTAGTAATCAAAAAAGTGTTAAACAAATCAAAATATATTTTCTATTTGAGATTCTTCAAATAGCCACCCTTTGCCTTGATGACAGCTTTGCACACTCTTGGCATTCTCTCAACCAGCTTCACCTGGAATGCTTTTCCAACAGTCTTGAAGGAGTTCCCACATATGCTGAGCACTTGTTGGCTGTTTTTCCTTCACTCTGCCGTCCTACTTATCCCAAACAATCTCAATTGGGTTGAGGTTGGGGGATTGTGGAGGCCAGGTCATCTGATGCAGCACTCCATCACTCTCCTTCTTGGTCAAATAGCCCTTACACAGCCTGGAGGTGTGTTGGGTCATTGTCCTGTTGAAAAACAAATGATAGTCCCACTAAGCCTCGTAAAACTGACTATCCTACCGATCCTTGACTTCGGCGATGTCATTTACAAAATAGCCTCCAGCAAATTGGATGTAGTCTATCACAGTGCCATCCGTTTTGTCTCCAAAGCCCCATATACTACCCACCACTGTGACCTGTACGCTCTTGTTGGCTGGTCCTCACTACATATTCGTCGCCAAACCCACTGGCTCCAGGCCATCTATAAATCACTGCTAGGCAAATCCCCGCCTTATCTTAGCTCATTGGTCACCATAGCAACACCCACCCGTAGTATGCGCTCCAGCAGGTATATCTCACTGGTCATCCCCAAAGCTAACACCTCCTTTGGCCGCCATTCCTTCCAGTTCTCTGCTGCCAATGACTGGAACAAATTGCAAAAATCTCTGAAGCTGGAGACACTTATCTCCCTCACTAACTTTAAGCATCAGTTGTCAGAGCACCTTACCGATCACTGCACCTGTACACAGCCCATCTGAAATTAGCCCGCCCAACTACCTCATCCCTATATTGTTATTTATTTTGCTCATTTGCACCCCAGCATCTCTATTTGCACATCATCTCTTGCACATCTATCATTCCAGTGTTAATACTAATTGTAATTATTTTGCACTATAGCCTATTTATTGCCTTACCTCCATAACTTGCTACATTTGCACACACTGTATATATATTTTCTGTTGTATTTTTGACTTTATGTTTTGTTTTACCCCATATGTAACTCTGTGTTGTTGTTTTTATCGCACTGCTTTGCTTTATCTTGGCCAGGTCGCAGTTGTAAATGAGAACTTGTTCTCAACTGGCTTACCTGGTTAAATAAAGGTGAAATAAAATAAAATAAAAAGCCCAAACCAGATGGATGGCGTATCGCTGCAGAATGCTGTGGTAGCCATGCTGGTTAAGTATGCCTTGAATTCTAAATAAATCACAGACAGTGTCACCAGCAAAGCACCCCCACACCATAACACCTCCTCCTCCATGCTTTACGGTGGGAACTACACATGCAGAGATCATCCATTCACCCACACCACGTTGCACAAAGACACGGCGGTTTGAACCAAAAATCCACCAGTCTAATGTCCATTGCTCGTGTTTCTTGGCCCAAGCAGGTCTCTTCTTATTATTGGTGTCCTTTAGTAGTGGTTTCTTTCAGCAATTCAACCATGAAGGCCTGATTCACACAGTCCCCTCTGAACAGTTGATGTTGAGATATGTCTGTTACTTGAACTCTGTGAAGCATATATTTGGGCTGCAATTTCTGAGGCTGGTAACTCTAATGAACTTATCCTCTGCAGCAGAGGTGACTCTGGGTCTTCCATTACGGTGGCGGTCCTCATGAGAGCCAGTTTCATCATAGCGCTTGATTGTTTTTGCGACTACACTTGAAGAAACTTTCAAAGTTCTTTAAATGGTCCATATTGACTGACCTTCATGTCTTAAAGTAATGATGGACTGTCATTTCTCTTTGCTTATTTGAGCTGTTCTTGCCATAATATGGACTTGGTCTTTTACCAAATAGGGCTATTTTCTTTATACCCTCCCTACCTCGTCACAACACAACTGATTGGCTCAAACGCATTAAGAAGGAAATATATTCCACAAATTAACTTTTAACAAGGCACACCTGTTAATTGAAATGCATTCCAGGTGACTACCTCATGAAGCTGGTTGAGAATGCCAAGAGTGTGCTGTCATCAAGGCAAAGGGTGGCTATTTGAAGAATCTCAAATATAAAATATATTTTGATTTGTTTAACACTTTTGGTTACTACATGATTCCATATATGTTATTTCATAGTTTTGATGTCTTCACTATTATTCTACAATGTAAAAAAATAGTAAAAAATAAAGAAAAACCCTTGAATGAGTAGGTGTGTCCAAACTTTGACTGGTAGTGTACCTGTAGGCCTGCAATACCCTGCATGATACCTCCGGAAAAGGTTAGAAACTCAGAAACAAAAGCTTGAGAAGCCTTGACTGGACTTGTTGAGTTCACAGTGAGTTCACAGTGAGAAGCCTTGACTGGACTAGTCGAGTTCACAGTGAGAAGCCTTGACTGGACTAGTCGAGTTCTCAGTGAGATTAGTAAACAGCCAGACAGACATTCCTAACACCATGGGATTCTCTTCCTTATTGCCATGTTGTTGGGTTTTTTCCTATCAGTAGGCTGCTAATAATAATAAATCACACAATTGGAGAGAGATGAATTAACAAGCAGCGGAGCAATTCCAATTACATAAGCGTGTTTGTTGCCAGGGTGAAACTTGGCACGGTCCATAAGCTGTCATCATGGCGGTTTATGTGAGTTCACATGTAAGTGATTTGAAGTGACCTGTGAACTAGAGTGTTTCAAGTCCTTTTTTATCATGAAATTACTTATTTTTACCTACACAGGACGCTGAAAAACTCAAGATTGTAAGAATTAAAGCTAAAGGGGAAGAACCACAGCAGTGTACCAATGAAATAGAAGCTAGACAAACATCTTTGGATTAAGGCAAACAAACAACTTGTCCAAAAACAAAATTACCTTTTTGTGTCTGAGAGGATTTGATGTGATAAATATGGAAAGAAATCCACCTAATCTAGAGAGTATGGTGAGGCTATAGCCATTTTGTTATTACCTACACAATCTTTTCAGATCTCCAGTATGTGCATAATGGTACAAGCTAAAGGTTGATCTGGGATTGGGAGTGAAGAAATCACCTGTACAGGCCGGAAGATGACCTCTGGTGCTGTGACTCTGTTCCTCCTGGCAGCGTCTCTCAGTATGGCCTCAGCCTCCTGCACTCTTCCCTGAGACAGCAGCCATCTGGGAGACTCTGGGATGAACCTGCAACATCACAAAACAGAACCAGGTTCATATCAAAGCTATCCTGGTCCCAGATCTGTTTCTGCTCTTGCAAACTCCATTGCTGTCATTGTCAAGGCCCAAAATAATTGGCATGACAATTAGTGACATGGAGTTAGGATGATAGCACAGACAGACTGGCACTCATGCTATATCAGAGTCAAGTAATTGGATGGGCTTTAGGGAAGGATTGAATAGACTGCATACAGTATGTTACACACACCTACCACCAAAAAGGGATATAGAGGAACCCTGGGAGGGTGAGGGCTAGCATCAGCATCCTCCAGTCTCTGATGAAGAAGGCCACTGCTGGGAGGAGCGTGTAGCCGATGGTGTAGAAAATACAAACTCCAAGAGTGGAGTAGATTATCCGTTTGGATGGAGATAACATTTCAGTTCCTATAGATGAGAGGAATTTCAAAATGTATGAAAAATTAAATGGTGCATCGGGCTTAAGGAAAACATTGTGCACATCAAACACCAGTAACAACTGTGTAATAATGACATTGGATAAATGAATGAATGAATGATCAAGATAAATAAAGATACCTAGCACAAATGCAGCCACATAATTTGAGATTTGCCCCATCCCGACAACAAAGAATAAGGCACAGAATAAAACCCAGGATGGAGAGAAGACTTGGATAAATGTGAACACAGTCTGGACCCCCATGGTGGCAAAGAGAACTATTTTCCTCCCAAACCTGAGAGAAATAAAAGATAGGTTGAAATCATCCACATGCAGATTTTTTGTAGGCTTTTCCTAAACATCTTCAATCAGATTAAGAATTCTAAATGATCCTCCAACAAAGTAAGAATATAAAATGTTCTTATGGGACACTGTCTAACAGTTTTCTGCGCGTACTGCTAAAACTTGTTATATGGGCAATATCTCTAAGAACATTATGAAAAACAGAAAAATACGTATAGCCATGCATCCCAACTAAAGAGGACAGCAAAGCTAAACATGTGACATAGGGTTTGTTCCAAATGCCACCCTATTCCCTATATAGTGTACTCCTTTTTGAACAGAGCCCTATGGGCCCTGGTCAAAATAGTGCACACTATGTAGGGAAAAGGGTGCCATTTGGGACTCCGCCAGGCCATCCATTACCTGTCAGAGAGCTGCCCAGAGAGGAAGGAGCCAGTGAAGACACCACAGAAGAACACAGAAGAGGTCAATGGGTTCTTCCACTTATCAGCACACACCAGGTCCCACTACACTCACACAAACAAACACACAGAGAGAGAGAGAGAGAGAGAGAGAGAGAGAGAGAGAGAGAGAGAGAGAGAGAGAGAGCGCATTAGGCCAATAAAATGAATGCATTATGGGATAATGAATGATGGGCAAAATCATTTCTTAACAGAACAAACAACATGAACAACCATTGGGCTAAATCATAAAAAAGAACATGGGGTGAGAAGTTTGGGAAGATCAGATGAATAGGTTTTGTTAAAATTGTTGTCATTTGTCGTCAGGGATTATTGGTAGGCTATACGTTTACATTACTCATCTAGGCCTACTGTGGACCACATGGAGGACGCCTGTTTATCTGAGATCAATAGCCTTTTGTGAAGCAGCCAACCGCAAACATTTCAGAACGTGAGCTCATCGTATAGCTTATGCAATATGCAGTAGGAACCCGTATTGTGAATAGCCTACAATACCAAACGTTGATGATGGAATATGCTACCAACTGTGCAGTGCTGCATAAGTTAACACTTTTTTCAATGCATGTGATGTCCAAGATGCTAAATATTTAAATAAGTTGCCACAGTATAGCTACAAAATGACAGTGGAAGCAATGCAACAATGTTTCACTCGATGCAACAACGTTTTACTCCCATAAAAATTTGCCCCAGTATTGCTACAAAATGAGTGGAAGCAATGCAACAATGTTTCACTCGCTGCAACAATGTTTTACTTCCATTAAAAAAATACATTGTATCCAGACAGACAACCCGCATGAAACAAAAACCACACCCGATGTAACGGTCGCAAAGAGTGGATGCGCACAATCTCATCATACCTCGGACACAATAGTTGAGATGTACGTCCCTTGATCGTATTCCCAGCCATCCAAACAGGTCTCGTGTTGTATTTCGGAAACATTGACATCGATCCCTGGGACATAACCTTTTTCTGAGAAACTCTTTATGACATCGAGTTTGTATCTGGTGCATTTACTGAGCACAACAGTCCCGCTTTCCTCCTCCAAAGGAATACTGTGATTTCTCCATTCGTCAGTAATGTTCGCATTTGCCGGTATGAGGCAATGGTGGGATGGTGTATCACCGATGAACACAATAGACATACCTGTAAAGCCGTTAGGGATGATACTCAAACATAAGAGAAAGAACACCATCTGTTGGAAAGGTCCCCATTCTCCAAGAAAGGCAGTGTTATCCTCATAGTCAGTCTCAGTCATTATAAAGATTGGAAGTGCGTTATTAGGGTGGCCCCGTGGAGAAAACAGCTCGTCCTTTATAGGGGGAGTAATTCGGGGTTGGAGTACTTCACATGTGAACCCTAACGTCAAAAGACATATGACCCCGTTATTTATCAAGGCTCACTTGTTCTCTCACCGTGGTTCTCCTGGGACTTAGCTGTTGGTTTCATTTTGCATCAGCTAAATCTAGCAACTTTAAGAGGGTAGGTAAATCTAGAACACACTCAGAGTCTAATAATACAGGAAAATGTGTATTTACACATAATGCATTTTCACAGAGATATCATTGCATTCATAACTCTAAATAGTTATGATAAGACCTCCCCAGGTTGTGAACATAAATATCATTATTTTGGAGATTGTAAGAGCTGCTATATGGTGTATCTCGAACATAATCTGAGTAACTACACTCTAAAAAGAAAAGGTTCCTGGAGTATCCTTTAGGGGTTCTTCAAATTGAAACTGTGGGGGAACCTCTATTAGTTATTTAAAGAACCCCTTTAATGGATCCTCAAAGAACCTTTTGAAGAACCTTTTGGGGTAAATTTTTTAACTACCCCCTCCCCTATTATTATTTACAATAATATTACGCATAACAATAACAACAATAACACACTATTGTAGTTAGTGTTTATTATGATTTTAGTGGCATAGCAGAATAAAAAAATCCAAATATAAGGTAAATGCCCAGCAGGGCCCCAAGTATAATGGGTATATCCTCTGGCGTGGTGATGTTGATGTGTTGATGTTCTCTGTATCCATAGCCAGAATGATTTTGCAGTGCATGGTGATCGAACAGGTTTCATGTTATATTCATCAGAGGTGTGGGGAGGGTGAAGTCTGAGAATCCCCAAAATTTTAATTATACAGATGATTAACAAAACATGCACACAACAGTATTCATACCTTGGTTTCTGTGGTAAATGTGAATGAAAAAAACTGTTTTGATAATGGTTTTCATACACGTTCCTTGTCCATAATGTAGAGGCCTATGGGATATTCATTGAAGAGGTAAGGGAGGAGGATGGTAAATGTGATCTGCGTAACATACCAATACCAATTTACATACCTTTGTATGCCTCCTCGTCTGTATACCTGCAGACACAGACATAAAAGTGAGCAGTTCAGTCATCTGTCTTTGTTGATTGATATTGTGATGAGTGGTGAAAGGAGTCAGGCGCAGGAGGGTAATCACCGAATACAGAGTTTATTCCTTTGTTGACACACAAATGCGCTCCAATAACGATCAACGAAACAGGCACAGGGAAAACCAACATCCCTGGATAAATACACTGTAACGGAATCCAATAATACATAAGCACAGGGGAAAAACTACCCTGTCAACTCAATGATATGAGTAGCTCCACCGAGCATACTCTCACAATTAACAATCACCCACAAGGACAAGGGGTCAGAGGGAACACTTATACACAGACTAATTAGGGGATAGGAACCAGGTGTGTGTGATTGACCCTGTGTAGCTCAGTTGGTAGAGCATGGCGTTTGCAACGCCAGGGTTGTGGGTTCGTTTCCCACGGGGGGCCTGTATGAAAATGTATGCACTCACTAAATGTAAGTCGCTCTGGATAAGAGCGTCTGCTAAATGACTAAAATGTAAAATTGACAAGACAAGACAATTGTGATGATGATTAGGGCGGCAGTGGTTAGTAAGCCGGTGACGACGAACGGCATAGCCTGCACGAACAAGGAGGGGAGGCATCCTCGGCCGAAGTCGTGACAGTACCCCCCACCACTTGACGCGCAGCTCCAGCAGCGCGCCGACCCCACCCGACACCTCGAATCCAGGATGGAGCGGACAGAGTACGCCGGGGCCCCCTCGATGTCCAGAGGAGGTGGAGGAACCTCCCGCACCTCAGACTCCTGGAGCGGACCAACCACCACCGGCCTGAGGAGAGACACATGAAATGAGGGGTTAATACGGTAAACAGGAGGGAGTAACAACCTATACGTAACCTCGTTGATTTTCCTCAGGACTTTGAACGGTCCCACAAACCACGGGCTCAGCTTCCGGCAGGGCAGGCGTAGGGGCGTCTCCTCCGTCTCCTCCGCGCGCCGAAACCAGTCATCTACCGGTTGGTAACCTAAGACACACTGAAAGGGTGTTAGGTTAGTAGAGGAGTGGCGGAGAGAGTTCTGGGCATATTCTGCCCATGGCAAGAACACCGACCTCTCCCCCGGCCGGTCCTGGCAGCAGGAACCTACCCACATCCTGATTTACTCGTTCCACCTGCCCATTTGACTCGGGGTGGAACCCAGAGGTCAGGCTGACCGAGACCCCCAGATGTTCCAGGAACGCCTCCCAAACCTTGGACGTGAACTGGGGACCTCGGTCGGACACTATATCCTCTGGCACCCCGTAGTGCCGGAAGACGTGAGTAAACAGGGCCTCCGCAGTCTGCAGGGCCATGGGGAGACCGGGCAGAGGAAGGAGGCGTCAGGACTTGGAGAAGCGGTCCACAACGACTAGGATGGTGCTGTTACCTTGGGAGAGGGGAAGATCAGTCAGAAAATCAATGCTAAGGTGAGACCATGGTTGTTGTGGAACTGGTAACGGTTGTAGCTAACCCGCTGGGAGGTGCCTAGGTGCCTTACTCTGGGCGCACACCGAGCAGGAGGAGACGTACACCCTCACTTCCTTAGTCAAGGTAGGCCACCAGTACTTTCCGCTCAAGCAGCGCACTGTACGACCGATATCTGGGTGACCAGAGGAGGGTGACGTGTGTGCCTAGAAGATCAGACGATCACGGATAAGAGCCGGCACGTACAGCAGCCCAGCTGGACACTGCGGTGGAGATGGATCTGTGTGTAATGCCCGCTCTATATCCGCGTCCATCGCCCATACTACCGGCGCCACAATGCAGGAGGCCGGGAGTATGGGGGTGTTGTCTCTGGGCCTCTCCTCTGTGTCATACAGCCGGGACAGTGCGTCTGCCTTCACATTCTTCGTACCGTAGGATTCAGCCTCCTCGCTGCCCGGATGTACTCCAGGTTACGGTGGTCCGTCCAGACGAGGAAAGGATGTTTCGCCCCTTCGAGCCAATGCCTCCACACGGTCAAAGCTCGGACAACAGCCAACAGCTCCCGATCACCAACGTCATAGTTCTGCTCCGCCGGGCTGAGCTTCTTCGAGAAGAAGGCACAGGGGCGGAGCTTGGGTGGCGTGCCCGAGCATTGGGACAGGACAGCGCCTATCCCTACCTTGGACGCATCCACCTCCACTACGAACGGTAGTGATGGATCGGGTTGGGCCAGTACCGGAGCTGAGGTGAACAGACCCCGCAGACTCCTGAAGGCCAGATCTGCCTCAGCAGACCAGCGGAGCCGGGACGGCCCACCCTTCAACAGGGACGTGATGGGAGCTGCGACCTTGCCAAAGCCCCGGATAAACCTTCGGTAGTAGTTGGCAAAGCCAAGGAATCACTGCACCTCCGTAACCGTGGTTGGAGTCGGCCAATTACGCACGGCTGAAATGCGATCTCCCTCCATCTCCACACCGGAGGTGGTAATGCGGTATCCGAGGAAGGAGATGGACTGCTGGAAAAACAAACACTTCTCTGCCTTAGCATAAAGGTCATTTTCCAACAGTCTGGCCAGCACTTTGCGAACCAGGGACACATACTCGGCGCGAGTAGCGGAATACACCAGGATGTCATCGATGTAGACCACCACCACACCGCAACCAAGCATGTCCCGAAACACCTCGTTCACAAAGGACTGGAAGACGGATGGAGCATTCATCAAACTGTAGGGCATCACCAGGTATTCATAATGCCCGTGGTTGTGCTGAAGGCTGTCTTCCACTCATCCCCCTCCCGAACACGCACCAGGGATGTAGCTCAGTTGGTAGAGCATGCCGTTTGCAACGCCAGGGTTGTGGGTTCGTTTCCCACGGGGGGCCAGTATGAAAAAAAAAAAAAAGTATGTATGCACTCACTAACTGTAAGTCGCTCTGGATAAGAGCGTCTGCTAAATGACTAAAATGTAAATGTAAAATGTTGTACGCACTCCTGAGATCAAGCTTACTGAAGAAGCGCACCCCATGCATTGACTCAATCACTGAAGGAATGAGGGGGAGAGGATAACTAAATCTAATCGTCTCCTTGTTCAGTGATCGATAATCAATGCACGGGCGCAGACCGCCGTCTTTCTTCATCACAAAGAAGAAACTCAAGGAGGCGGGTGAAGTGGAGGGACGTATATACCCCTGGCCCTGGGACTCGGCGACGTATGTTTCCATAGCCTCCGTTTCAGCCTGCGACAGGGGGTACACATGACTCCTGGGAGGTACAGCGTCTAACCGAAGGTCTATCGCGCAATCCCCCGCCCGATGAGGTGGTAATTTAGTCTCACGCGTTTTGGAAAACGCATGCGCCAAATCGAGGTATTTGAGGGGAATGCGCACGGTGGAGGTACCGTCTGGACTTTCCACCGTGGTTGCACCTACAGAAACATCTAGACACCTTCCCTGACACTCATGCGACCACCCCGTGAGAGCCCTCTGCGGCCATGAGAAGGTGGGGTTGTGGAGTGCTAGCCAAGGGATACCTAATACCACAGGCAAAGCAGGAGATTCAATAATCGAAAAAATAACCTGCTCACAATGAGTCTCCTGGGTGATAGTGACTTCCCTAACAAACCCGGACCCTAATGGTCGACTATCGAGTGCTCTGATGGGGAGTGGAATGGAGAGGGGAACCAATGAAATGCCTTGACGGCGTGCGAATGCCCTGTCCATAAAGTTCCCAGCTGCGCCTGAATCGACTAGCGCCTTACACTGGGGAACTACCATGTGATCGGGAAAGTGAATTGGTAGGGTACAGTGCGCAGTGATGCGTGAGTGCCCTGCCTGCCGCCTCCCGGCCCAAAAGAACGTTGACTACGACGTGTGGTGTACTGTCTCTTCGTGCCACCAGAGTGGCACTGTCACTGTCCTCCTTCGCTCTCTCGGCCGGCGGCTCCACCCAGCTCCATCGGCTCGGGATCCGAGTTGTCCGGGGTGGAAACGGGCAGACCCCTACCAGGATGTCCTCTGGCTTCCAGCAGGTTGTCCAAACGAATGGCCATGTCCACCAGTTTATCGAAGGACAACATGGTGTCCTGGCAGGCTAGCTCCCGTCGGACGTCCTCCCGCAGATGGCACCGGAAATGG